TGTTTACTATTGTCACTTTGCATCATTGACACACTATTTTCCTAATTAATGGAGTGTGACGTATGAGGGTAACCACAGTATTACAGCACAGCATCACACAAGCCATGATACAAGTAAAGGAAACTAAGCAACCTAAAGCAATATATGTCTTCCTCAGATGTAATGTTAGTTCTATACATCAGCGTTGGGTAAAATAGCATTATAATCTCCTATGTGGTAGAGAAAGCTGCTTACATGTAGGCTACAGGAAACAGCGAAGATGTTGAACATACACACAATCAGTTTTCCACATTTATACTGGCCCCGATAATCAAAACTTCTACTTAGCGCTTGCTCCATTTCTGCAAATCAGGTTTTGTGAATGAATAACTTAATCCACCTGTTGCTTTGATCTTCATCAACAGCCGCTTGCGCCACCTGCTGGTGAGTGACTGACAGCAGCTGGAGATCATGCATCGGTGCTCTACTAATTATGAAAATGTGTGTGAAATATTTTGAATTGAAATATTCACAGCTTAAATAGACAACTATGTTAAATTTCAGGACCTAAAAATGCAAGCCCTGGAAATACAAGGCATTCAAGCACTGTTAACGCAATGCATTCGTTTTTCAGATAGTGCTATTCAATGTGCTTTTTTGACATATGGCATTATTTTTCTTCCATAGAACAAATATGGTTTTGAGAGGTTTGTGTATTCTATATGGGGTTTGCCTTTTAAAAGTGTCTCATTTCTACTTTTTGTTTTTCAGGGAACACATTTTTGTTACTAACAAAATTAATGGTGAGCAAAGGTTGTGGCCACGTTTTGTAGCAGCACCTGGGTTTTGCAGACGGCTATGTATTTCTTTTCCCATTATGGTTTTGTTGCCTATAGATTCTTTGTGAGGATAAATCCAGAGAATACAACATAATGCACTACAAAATGTCCTAGGACAGGAGAAATGGTGTAGATGAACTGTTCCAGCATTGGGAGACTGTATTTTTAAGTGTTATACATTCAATGTTTTAAATAAAGAATTTTATATTTTGTAATTATTGTGTCTGTTTTAATTGAATGCCAGTAGTACATACAGTATGTAGGATAAAAATAAAATTAATTATATATATAAAAATATAAAATTAAATGAAATCTATATTAAAGTAGATTTATTACACTAGTATACTTATGAATTGATTTTTTATAGCAATTTACTGTAAAACGGTACAGTTTGCTACAGTGTGCAACAGTGTTGCCAGTAAGTTACTGTAAAAACCCTTTGAAATGTCTAACAGTGTAGACCATATACATTACCGAATTAAGTATTAGTCTTATCTGTATGAGCAGTAATGACGGCTTACTTCAAGTTGTTTCAACTGTTATGAAGAACAAAATGCATTAAGCGTGCTTCAGCTTCCACTCTCCGCACAAACGCTTAGATACGCCCAACAGCGCATTTTTCTAGGTTAAATGTTTAAACTAATATTGTAATATGCTTTAAGTGTTTCATATCTATAGATTTTATTTTAAGCAAGTCGTGATTTGAGAAGGCTACATTGATCAAGCGCGATCAACTCAGCTGTCTGCCGCCATCCGCTTGGTCATCACTTAAAAAAAAATAAAAATAAAAATGTAACAAACAAAAAGTGTTCCAAACATTGTTCTAAATTAATGAATAATGAAACAATAAGAAATATAACTTTGCAATTAAAAGCAAACTGAACTATTTCAATGGCTGCAACAGCAGCTGTGTAGGCTAATTAGGAAGCGAGAGAGAGAAAAAAGACACGGTCTCCAGTCTGACATTGGCCGAGGATACTGGTAAGCTGTTGGCCAAGGGCTGGCTATAGGGCCTAGATTTGAGGCCCGTGTAGGGGCAGTGGTGGAAAGAGTACTGAAAAAATATACTCAAGTAAA